ATCATTATGAACTTCCTGCGTTCGCACCGCCGCAATATCCTGACCGATGAACTGCCTCACAAATTCGGCTAGCGTCATTGCGTCCATGGTACGTGCCACATTGATGAGTTTCGCTTTCTGGCGTACATCTTCCGGGAGGCTCTCTGTGAAACGGTCAAGGAGTAGTTCCGAGCAAGCATTCTCATCCAATGTCGGTAGTGCGCGATCCAATAGCCCACGCAGGGCCACGGCACGCGAGAGTGGGTCCATACCGACTCCGAGCTACGTTGTCTTGAAGCGACGGAGTGCCTCCTGGCGGTTGGCCGGGCAGTCGAAGCTCGTAATCAAAGCGGCCCACTCCATTTTCTCCGGGCCTCTGCGTGCCGCGACTAACACGCCCGTGCACGGCCCCTGAGGAGCGCTCGGAGGGCCGTCAACTTGCCACGATCCGTCGGTATTCCGGCCAGCTCCGCCACATCCTCGAACTCCTCCAGGAACATCCGCACCTCCCCATCCTCGAGGGCTGTTGGCCATGGAACCTTCATCAAGATCCTAGAGACGGCACCAATTGTAATATTTTCAAAAGGCGCTGCTGGTCGAGGAGAGATTTTTTATTGCACAATACAGATTGGAGGTCACCAATTTTGCATGCATAACACGAAAACCTTATCAGAAACATGCCATCGCAATTTTCCCCGACACGTAGGTTAATGTGTAGAACAGGCAGTGTTCATTCTTCCCAAACATATCAACTGGTCCTTGATGGTCTTGTTCTATTTTCAATCACCGAAAGTTACCGACTACTCACAAGTGAGTAGTATTTCACAACAGAACTGCGATATGCACCACACGGATTCTCTATCAATAGAGTCAGCGCGGAAGTCAATGAAACATGGCGCGGTAGGCAGTTGGAGCTTGTAGCGGTTTTCCAGAATTCTACAGAGAGTAAAGATTTGTTCATACTAGCCTATTTCGCGGCGAAACCCCCTTTGGTTCGGGCGAGTGTGGGTAGCCCTGACGACTGCGAAGGGATTAAGCAGTATAGCTGCAAACATTTTAGCCACAATATCAATCAGGCTAATACCGCTGTAATTTTCGCATCTAGATCTATCACGCTTTTTGGGACCTGGACTAAAATTGATTCCGTCCAGTATTTTGGAAAAACGTTTCTTTTCCAAATTGTGTGGAAAATGCAGTGCAGCGGATCGATCAGAGTTGGTACGCAAGCTTTAAAGAACTCTGGTGGTATCTCGTTTTCTCCAGGGGCCTTCTTGTTTTTCAGAGAAGTGACTACATTGATGATTTGTGTCGGGCTAGGTGGGTCGCAATTGATGTCGTGAGTCTCCGAACTGCTTGATATCTTTAGAGAACCAGCTTGGTTTGATGGTCGGTGGAGCAGCCCATCTAAGTGTCCAACCCACCTTTGCACTTTTTGCTTGGTTCTCTAAATAAGTTTACCTGTGATGCTGCGCAGCAGTGGTTCCGATGTATGCCTCTTTCCTGCTGTGACGCGAATTAGACGGAATAGCTTTCCAAAGCCCGCTGCGATGGTTGCAGCCTCTTTGCTGTCTGCAGTCGCCTTCCAGTATTGTTTATGGTCGCTCTTGATGGAGCGTGTGGCCTGGCGATGGAGAATACGAAATTCGGGAGAATTCATTAGCTGCGCATCTCTTGCCTTTGCGGACAACTAAAGTAGTACGCTCGGAGATCCAGTCTCTCTAGTGGCGAAGAATCTCACCTAACTGCCCCAGCGCCATTTCTCTAATGGACGTTTTCAGTGTAGACCACT